GATAAGCCTTCCGAATCTTCTGAATATACCACTAAAGAAGACAATATTTCAGGTAGTAGTAGTAATAGAAATGAATCGGATGATGGAGAATCAGATGATGATAAAGATTATGAAATATTTGAGAATTATGCACCACCTGATTATGAGCCATTTCAGGACCCACCAGATATAGGATCAACAATTGATAACTGAATTTTATGGATTTTGCTCTGGATTATGATATTTCGGACAAGATTCAACATAATGGAGACAGCAACCGAGGCTTTAATAAAATTTATGAAATTAGTCTTGACAGAAAACGGTGGAGATGATTTTAGAGACTTTCCAGATTTGATGTACTTAACAAGGAAAAAACTTGGATTAAAAGATCATTTTCATAGCTTCGTTTCTTGTCCGAAATGTCATAAGCTGTATAAAAAACAGGAAGTGATAAATTTTAGACATGAAGATTCACTTGCTATAATGAAGTGCTGACATGTAGAATTTCCTAATTCGTCACTCTGTAAATTACGACTTTGCAATACAACTATATCTCAAACCATCAGTGTTTTGGCAAATCGAGTAATAATTCGACCTAATTTAATATTTCCATTTTTTGAAATCAGATAACAACTCGCTTTGATGTATCGTCGGCCTTGTTTTGAAAGTTTTTGAGACAATAGGCAAATCGTCGGCATTATGATAATATTAGGACTGATATATATGATGGTCAAGTATGGCAGACATTGAAAGAATCTTTTGAAGAAAATTCGCAAAATTTTTTTAGAGATGAAGTGGCTGATTCTCACCTTGGATTAATGTTGAACTTGGATTGGTTCCAGCCTTATAAAGGCACTGTATATAGTATTGGTGTTATTTATGCTGCTATATGCAATTTGCCACGTGATATCTGATTTAAACGTGAAAACTTACTGACTTTTGGCCTCTTATCTGGGCCAAGTGAAGTAAGTTTGCACAAAATAAATTATTATTTAGCACCGATTGTTGATGAATTGAAATCTCTTTAGGATGAAATATCTATAGATAAAACATATGAATTTCAAGAAGGAAGGACCATTCGTGTAGCTCTAATTCTTATTTCATATGATATACCATCTGCTAGAAATATATGTGGTTATGTTTCAGCCTTAGTATCATATCATAGGTGTGAAAAGAAAGCAAATTATGAAAATCAGCAGCATAATTTTGCCGGTATGGATGATTTTGATGATTGGTTCTTCATGCGAGATCCAACTGAATATCGTCAGAATATTTTAGAATGGAGATATTGCAATTCTGATGCTTCACGAAAGCGATTTGTAAAACAAACTGGTGTAAGATGGTCTGAATTATTGCGATTACTATATTTTGACCCTATTAGATTTATTATAATCGACCTAATGCATTGCTTATTTTTAGGAATTGCACGATAAATAGTAAAACGAATTTGGATAGATAGGGGAATTTTAATATCAAATGCCTGAAAAAATTCAGAAAAAAATGAATGAGTTTCAGATTTCATCTGATTTGGGTCAAATTCCAGATAAAATTCATGAAGGAGAAGGATTTTCTAATTTTACAGCTGATTAATGGCAAATATTTTTTACTGTTTATGCCACTGTATCGCTTTGGGAACATCTTCTAGCTGTAGATAAAAAGATTCTTACACATTTTATGAGAATTTGCTTAATTTTAGTTAGCCAAATTATAGAATCAGATCTTGTTTTAGAAGCTCATCGAAGATTAATTGAAATAGCAAAGCTGATAGAAGTTAATCATG